CTGGTCAGGAAAATGAGACATAGAGGTCAAATAAGTTACTCATGAACATCCCACTAGAAAGTGGCAGAGTTGAGCCAAGAGCAGTGGCACATGCCTGTAATCCCAGCAAGAAGGCTGAGACAGGAAGACCACAAGTTCAAGGTCAGGCTCAGCAACTTAGCAAGGCCCTAAGCAACTTAATGAGACACTGTGTCAAAATAAAAAATAAAAAAAGCTGGGGATGTGGCTTAGTGGTTAAATAGCCCTAGGTTCAATTCCCAGGACCAAAAGAAAAAGAAAATAAAGTGTCGCACCAATTAGAATAAGTTATACTCCATGTTGTATAATATGTCAAAATACACTCTGCTGTCATGTATATCTGAAAAGAACAAATAAAAAAGAAAGTGGTGCAATTGAAATTGGAAGTCAAGTTTACTTGGGTCTATTCTCATGCTTTTTTCCCCGCCACTAAGCCATCAGTCTTTTTCTTTTTCTTTCTTTCTTTTTTTTTTTTTTTTTTTGTGCTGGGGATTGAACCCAGAGGCACTAAACCACTGAGCCACATCCCCATCCTTTTAAAAATATTTCATTATTTTATTTAGAGACTGAGTTGCTTAGGATCTCACTAAATTACTGATCCTGGCCTTCAACTTCCGACCTTCCTGTCTTAGCCTCCCAAGCTGCTGAGATTACAGGAATGCACTACCATGCCCAGCCAGATTTAATTTTTAAAAACACTTTTTATTTGCAGTTGGTTGAATCCATAGAGGTGGAACCTGTAGGTATGAAGGGCTGATTGTAATTGTATGACATCTGGTGCTTTTTTTTGCCTCCCCCCTAACTAGTGCTGAGGATTGAACCCAGGGCCTTGTGCATTCGAGGCAAGTACTCTTATCAACTGAGCTATATCCCCAGCCCATCTGCTGCCTTTTGTGTATGAGTGTAGAGGGCATTCACATGCACACTGGGGATTAAAAGAAACTCACGCACATGCTCTATCACTGAGTTACACCCACAAACCCATTAGTCTCTTCTTTTAATTTTTTTTTAGCTGTTAATGAACGTTTGTTTTATTTATTTATATGAGGTACTGAGAATTGAACCCAGTGCCTCACTCATGCTAGGCAAGCACTCTTGCCACTGAGTCACAACCCCAGCCCCATTAGTCTCCTCTTAAAACTCCTTTTGGGGCCGGGTGCAGTGGTACATGTCTGTAATCCCAGTGATTTGGGAGGTTGAGGCAGAAGGATTATGAGTTCAAAGCCAGTCTAAACAATTTAGTGAGGCTCTTAGCAACTCAGTGTGAAACCCTGTCTCAAAATGAAATATAAAAAAGGGCCGGGAATATGGCTCACTGGTTAAGCACCCCTGAGTCCAATACCTGATACAAAAACAACAACAACAACAAACTCCTCTTGGTGTCTGAGATTCTCTCTCCTGATTTTCCTCTCACTTTTTTGATCATAACTTTGTTCTGTGTGCTTTGTGGACTCTCTTTTCCTTCCCATATCTTAAATGTCTGTCACAGAATTGTATATACCCTCCTTGGGCATACTGATGACTATCCATGCTTGATCATTAGCCCAGACTTCTCTAATTGAGCTGCCTACAAATCATCTCCACTTGGGTGCTTTTAAAGGTATCTTGATTCAAAAACCCCAAATCAAGTTTCTTTTAGTCCTCCTACTCTCATCTCTCCCAATATTTTCTCATGTTTGGAAAATGGTAACACCTGTTTACCCAGGCATCCACACCAAAGACCTCAGAATCTTTCTTGACTCTTTTCTTCAGTGGCTACAACCAATAAGACGCCAAGTTCTGTTGATTTTGCTTTCAAAGTATTCTTTTTAAAATCTTTTAAAAAATCTGTTCTACTTAGTTGTACATGACAGCAGAATGCATTTCAATTCATCATGCACGAATGGAGCACAACATTTCAATTCTGGTTGTACACAGTGTAAAGACATACTATTCATGTAACCATCCATGTACCTAGGGTAATGATGTCCATCTCATTCCACCATCTTTCCTATCCTTATAACCTTTCCCCAATCTTCCTTTTGCCCAATCCAAAGATCCTCCATTCTCTCCCCCCCCACCATTGTAGATCAGTATCCACTAATCAGTGAAAACATTTGACCTTTAGTTTTTAGGGACTGGCTTATTTCGCTAAGCATAATATTCTCCAATTCAATCCATTCACCTGAAAATGCCACAATTTTATTCTCTTTTAATGCTGAGTAATATTCCACAGTTTCTTTATCAATTCATCTATTGATGGGCATCTAGATTGGTTCCACAGTTTAGCTATTGTGAATTCAGCTGCTATAAACATTGGTGTGGCTATGTCACTATAGTACACTGATTTTAAGTCCTTTGGGTATATCAAAGTATTCTTAACTTTTTTTTCTATCTTCAATGTCATTATGCTAGTCCAGGTCTCTACCTGATGATCTCTTTGTTTCCAAGTATCTCTCTCACAATCCATTCTTCATTCTATTTCCAGAAGAACCTTCCTTAATAAAGCAAATTGATTACGTTACTCCCCCTGGCTTATAGAACAAAGTCTAAAGCTCCATAACACAAAAACAAACACCATTCTTTTTTGTTTTTGTTTTTGGTACCAGGGACTGAACTCAGAGGCACTTGGCCACTGAGCCACATCCCCAGCCCTATTTTGTATTTTATTTAGAGACAGGGTCTCACTGAGTTGCTTAGCACCTTGCTAAATTGCTGAGGCTGGCTTTGAACTTGCCATCCTACTGTCTCAGCCTTCTGAGCCGCTGGGATTACAGGCGTGTGCCACCCCACCCAGCCAGACACCATTTTTCATGACCCAATTCATATCTATTTCTTCTGTTTTACATCTCACCTCTCTTCCTTTCCTCCCCCAATCTATGCTAAACTCAGGAAGTGTTTGCAACAAACCAGTCTATTTTGTGCTTTAGGGGCCTTTTCTCATCCAGCTTTCTCTGTCTGCAAAGCCCTTCCTGTATTGATCTTGCAAATGCCTACTCTTCTTTGAAGATTTAACTCTCAATTTTCTGTCATCATCTAGGGAGATTTGACCACTCTCTGATGTGCTTCCTCTGTACCCAATACATAATTTTATTCAGCACTCACAACATTTTATTCCATTTATGCTTTTACATATCTACTTTTTCCCTTGTAAACTTTAAGCTTCAGGATGGCAGTGCCCTTTGAATGATTGATGTCTGTATCCAGAATACTTAATACAGTGCCTAGCACAGGGAGACAATAAATACTGGGTCAGTGAGTAGATTTTTTTAATGAAAAATAAAGCAGTGGACCAAACTAGTAAGCCACTTGATAAAAATGTCATCAATATACTCCCAAATGAGGATTATGCCAATCTGAATAGTGAAAACTATGAATGACCTATTACCCTAAAATCTATATAATTCTATTATTTTGTAATATATCTAGTGACTCCTTCTTCTGTCCTATAACGTTTCCTTTTGGGTTGCCATTGGACCTTGTACAGACATCAATTAAACATGCTGCTATAATAATGTCATTTACATATCCACCCCCCACTAGACTGAGAGCTTCCTGATCCTGCCTTAGTTCTCTCTGTATCTTCAATGCACATACCAAAGTAGGTGTTCAATAAGTATTTGAATTAAGCTAACAAAAGTATTATCTTGTAAATGTCTAAAGTTTATTTCAATGAACAGTGGAATGATTTTTGTCTTATTATATTAAGATATATAAGGAGCTAATATTTACATACATTTTTATTTCTCTATTTGCACAGCAATTTTTATAGATTCCACAAATGTAAAATCCAGTTCAGTTCTTTTTGGAAGTATCATAAATGCCAAATTAGGGAAGTACAACTTTTTTATATATTTTTTTTATTTTACTTATTTCTTTTTATGTGGTGCTGAGGATCAAACCCAGGGCCTTACAAAATGCCAAGCAAAAGCGCTACCACTGAGCCACAACCCCAGCCCTAGGGAAGTACAACTTAAAGAAGCTTTATCATACCATGCCTTGCCTTGTTTTATTTTTTTTTTATTTTTTGGTATTCATTCATGTGCATCTGTGTTTATATAAGGCAGACCCTAGGAAATGTGGATGTGGCTAACACATAGCAGTTTTTATAGGCCCAGTGAATTTTCTTTTAAATCCTTAATGCTTATAATTTCTTTTTTTAAATATAAATGAGCTCCCCTTTAAAAATTAAGTTTATTTTAATTTATTTATATGCAGTGTTGAGAATTGAACTCAGTGCCTTACACATACTAGGCAAGTGCTCTACCACTGAGCCACAACCCCAACCCACTTATGATTTCTTTTTAGCAGCGTTAGGAATTGAATCCAGTACCTTGTACTGGCAAGCACTCTACCACTAAGCTACATCCTCAACCCAATGATTATAATTTATAATTGACAACTTTTTAAAATTATGAAGCCAAATTCTTTGCTTTATGACATTTCATGCAAGTCTTAGTCCATTCAAACTACTGTAACAAAATACCATAAACAACAGAAACTTATTTCTCATGGTTCTAGAGTCAGGGAAGTCCAAGGTCAAGGTGCCAGCAGATTTGGTATCTGTTGAGGACATTCATTTTGGTGACTTCTAGCTGTGTCCTTACATGGTATAAGGGGCAAGACAGCACTCTCTGGGACCTCTTTTATAAAGGCATTATCCCATTTATAAGGACTTCACCCCACAGCCTTATTAAATCCCAAAGGCTCTATGTACTAATACCATGATCTTGTGGTTTAGGATTTCAACATGAATTTGGGGAGGACAAAAATATTCACACCATAGTAGTACTATTACTAAGTTTTAAATCACAGGGAGCATAACAGATTGCTTGCTTTTTTCTTAATTATAAGGCTTTTATTCAGGGGACAAAATGAAAAATGGGATTTCCTTGGCTGGTGTGTAAGTGCCATGATAGGGAAGGAGGCCCCTGTTTGTTTTTCTTCATTTGAATGTTAGTCATGGTTAACACAGTGTTTTTCTTATGACATTCCCATTCTAGAAACGTGCTTACAAGAGCTATGTTCGAGCTCTCCCTCTGCTGAAGAAAATGGGCATCAATTCCATTCTCCTCCGAAAAAGCATCGGTGCCCTTGAAGTAGCCTGCGGCATTGTCATGACCCTTGTGCCTGGGCGTCCCAAAGATGTGGCCAACTTCTTCCTACTCTTGTTGGTGTTGGCTGTGCTCTTCTTTCACCAGCTGGTTGGTGATCCTCTCAAACGCTATGCCCATGCTCTGGTGTTTGGAATTCTGCTCACTTGCCGCCTACTGATTGCCCGCAAGCCTGAAGATCGGTCTTCTGAGAAGAAGCCCTTGCCTGAGAATGCTGAGGATCAACCCTCCTTATATGAAAAGGCCCCTCAGGGCAAAGTGAAGGTGTCATAGGAAAGTGGAAGTGCAAAAAGTGGACCTTCCAGGCAGTTGCCTCCATGACACCCAGGAAGATGTCAGTGTGTATTTTTCATTTGATTTATTTATCTTGGGGAAAATGGAAAATATAATCTGCAAGTTAATTGGCTTGTGTACATTGTACTCTAAAATGACCTCCCCACATTGACATTTGTGCACCACCTGTAATCACTCTGGGGCAATGCTCACATCTTGCTGCATGTACATGTATACGGCTACTATTGAAGTGTATTTGTGAGATGGACTCCAGCAAGCATGTGACTGTGAGATTATGTGTGGGGAAATGTATTGAACTACTGTGTGTGTACACACACCCACATGTGGAGAAGGCTCTGATCTTGAACTAATCCTGCACAGGTATCCTTCCCTTTATAAATTGATTCCAGTAAAGATAGAATAAAACAAATTTCCTAAAAAGAGAATTCCATTTTTGGTATAAAACAAGTGACCTATTCCCTGGTGGGGATGGTATGTTCTCTAGATAAAGCTGAAAACTTAAACTCACCACTTTAGGGGAAAATTCCTTTAATTTGAAACACTGAGTTATGTGTAAAATTAATTAATTAGCCTTTGCTTCAATAGTTAAGTTTTAAATACTTCATATTGAGTTTAATTTAAACGAAGGATACATGCAGTCAATTGATGGTCTATTCTTCAAGTGATAAAATAGGACGTTTCACCTTGCCTTTGTTCAAGCCCAATCTACTAAGTTCTTTTACTAACATTTAAAAATTGAAACAGTAATCTTGTTACTAGACATCTTCGGATTTTCTTAAGCTCACAGCTGCCTCACTTCCACTATTCTTAGTAGCTAACCAGGATTTGGCAGCTGCTCCACTGTTGTGGTTGAGGGAGCAGGCATTGGTCTTGTTAGAAATCGGAATCTCAAACATTAGCTATTCTCTGAAAGTGTCTCTGAAAATTGACAGAGAAGCTGTATCCTGTTTCCCTGCCAAACAGATTTACTACCCCTATTGATTCTTCACTGAACTTTGCCAGTGTAAGCAGAGTTCAAATCACCCCCAGAGTTGTCTTCCCTACACTTTTTTATCATTCCAGTAGGTGGAGTTTAGCTGGGGGAAGGACATTTGACATGGGTTAGTTGGATTGAGCAGTATGGAAATTTGCTTCCTTCATCACATACTGCTGTTTCTCCTTGTTAAATGTGCTTTGATGGTTTTAGTATTATTGTGCCAGGGATGGGAAAAGGGGTGGGGGGTTGTGTGTGGGGAGAGTACCTATTGTATTTTCTTCAGTGTCATTGTTCTTGGTAATTGATACCTCTGTCTTATTTCTCTCATTCTTTCAAAATAAAAAAAAAATTTTGAAATTTGGAGGAAATTGTCTGGATAAATACTGAACATATGAAAAGAAAGGGTATTTAAAAGGATTCAGGCTTTTTTGTTGTTGATATTTTTGGTCTGAATGAAGGAGGAGAAGAAAGAGAAAGTATAAGTATGATCACTTAATACACTAATGAAGTTGCCAAGGCCAGTTTGCTAATTCCTTATAAGTTCCCTAGTAACTTTTTTTTTTGGCAGTACTGGGGATTCAACCCGGGCCTTGCACATGCTAGGCAAGCACTCTACTACTGAGTTACACCCCCAGCCTTTTCTATTTTATTTTCAGACTAGATCTTGCTAAGTTGCCCAGGCTGGTTTCAAACTTGGGATTCTCCTGCTTCAGCCTCCTAAGTACCTGGTCCCTCACTTTTTTTTTGAATGCATGTAAGACAGAAAGTTGTAGTTAGGATCTCAATACAATTTCCAGGTTTGGGAGTTCTTTATTAGTTGATGCCAAGGGAAGGTAAATTATTTCAGAGAAAATTGAAGGTTTATTAAATAAATATGAAGTACTGTCTCACTATGTACATGTCCATAGAGAGGTCTAAGTTTTGCAGTGCCCAAAATTTGTCATGTTAGGCAAGTTATTTCATTGCTTAGGGCACCAGTTTCATGGGCTTAAAAAAATAAAAGGAAAAAGGTTGCTGGGCATGGTGGTGCACACCTGTAATTCCAGTGATTCAGGAGGATGAGTCAGGAGGATTGAAAGTTCAAGTAGCCTGGGTAACTTAGCAAGACTTTACCTCAAAATAAAAAGTAAAAAGGGTTGGGATGTAGCTTAGTGGGAGAGTACTCCTGGATTCAATCCCCAATACTGCAAATAAATAAATAGGTGTCAAAATCTTAAAATCTTTTCCAATGTACCTTTATTTGAGGCTATGAAATGATCAAATGCATGAAAAATGACAAAATTTCAGTTTTACTAAAGAGTAGCTATCATAGAAAAATTGCACAGTCTCTATTTTCATGCATGACTAAATAAGAGTTTGTCAAACTACTCTGAAAACCACATAAAAATAAGATGTGGTAAATAGTCATTTCTTTTTTCCTTTTATGGAGGGGCAGGGATTGAACTCAAGGGCACTTGAGTACTGAGCCATATCCCCAGCCCTTTTTGTATTTTATTTAAGAGACAGGGTCTCAGTGAGTTGCTTAGTGCCTCGCTGTTGTTGAGGCTGGCTTTGAACTTGCCATCCTCCTGCCTCAGCCTCCCTACCGATGGGATTACAGGCATGCACCACCGATCCCAGACATAAGTAGTCATTTCAAATACATTATCTTAACCTTTGATTATTCATTTTTCTCTAAGATTGCAAAGTTTCCACCTACATTATGTTTTGGCCTCAAATCAGGGAGTACCATTACATTTATAGCTTTCCTCTATTTTTTAAAAAAATTTTCATTTATTTATTTTTTGTACCAGGATTTGAACCTAGGGGCACTTAACCACTGAGCCATATCCTCAACCCTTTTTATATTTTATTTAGAAACGGAGTCTCACTGAGTTGCTTAGGGCCTCAGCTAAATTGCTGAGGCTGGCTTTGATTACAGGCATGCGTGCCATGACCGGCTTATTTATTTATTTATATAAAGGCATTGAGGATTGAACCCAGGTGCCGCAGTCTGGCTGGGCACAAATCACGAGCCACTCAAGCAGGAATAAACTTTATTTCCGAACTCCCCCCAAACGCCACCCATGCTGCGGCCTTCTCCGGGACACACCACACACCAACCGGAACTTCACCAACCAATGCGAACTCCCCAGGAATCCCTGGGAGAACTCCAAAGTAGCCAGCACCTCAGGCGGACAGCAGGGGTCTGTATACAATTGAATACACAGCCTGTTTCAATCCAGCATCATCCAGTCACAGCAATTATAGACAGCTTAACTTAATTTTCATCATCTTAATGACTCGCCTCTCAACCATTACTTCTGGCAAAATGCCAGGGGCCATTCCAACTCGGCTGTGGCTCTCAGCATCCAGGTGCACTTTACCACTGGGCTACAACCCCAGACCCCCTTTTTTGGTAGTGGGGATTAAACCCAGGGGCACTTAATCACTAAGTTACACCCCCAACCCCCTTTATGTTTTGAGACAAGGTCTCATTAAATTGCTGAGGCTGGCCTTCAACTTGCAATTCTCCTGCCTCAGGCTCCCTAGTTCATAGGATTACAGGTGTGCACCACCACATCTGGCAACCCCAGACTCCAAAAAAAAAAAAAAAAAGCATCTATTTATTTTCCATACCAGGGATCAAACCTAGGGGTGCTTTGCCACTGAGCTACATTCCTAGCTCTTTATTTTTTATTTTGAGACTGGGTGTCCCTAAGTTTCTTAGGGCTTCCGCTAAATTTCCCAGGTTGGCCTCTAACTTCTGATCCTCCTGCCTCAGCTTCAGCAGTCGCTAGGTGTACAGGCTACAGGCGTGAACCATCGCTCTAGTCTTTTTTTTTTTTTTTTTAGATAGGGTCTGGTTTAGTTGCTGAGACTGGACTCAAACTTGCCATTTTCCTGCCTTAGCTTCCCCAGTTGCTGGCCTAACCGTTATGCACCACCACACCAGGTTTATAGTTCTCTTATTCCTAGTTTAAAAAGAAATTAAATCAGGTCTCAGACTAAGCCATTGTTAATATCTTAGCGAGTTTAAGGTCAATGGATTCAAGGTTAGGCATATACTTGCTACAGCCCACAATCTGCAACCTTGAAGGTGGTTCAACATCTGGTTTAGGATACAAGTTTCCAGAAAACGTGGGAGGTTATCCATACCTATCCTAGGTAAAAGGAGGGCAGAACGTCGTTTTTTCCTTTCAGCTCCCTAGCTTCAGGAGGAGAGCGACTGAAAACTCTCAGCATGGGAGAAGCCGCCTTTACAGTGAAGTTTGCGGTTTCACATTTTCCTACAGATTCAAATTGATATTTGGGGTCAATCTGGGCAAAATAAACACTATAATCGATCATGTTAAATTTAACAATCTTGACACCAGTTACTGGTTCTACGCAAAATGACGAACGCGAACATTATTAGAAAAGTGAGAACACTAGCCAATGAGCTAACTCCAGCAGGAACGGCCCACTCCCTGCGCTCCCCCGGCTTAGGTAGGTGGGGCAAACTGCTCTGGGTAATTGGGTCTGCGTCATTGTCTGCGCGCGCCGACTCCCGCCATAGAGCTGCATTCCAACCAATCAGGCTCCAGCAGAGCACGTCACTCTGCCCAGTCGCCGCCGGATCTCCGCGGAAGCGCATGCGCGGGGCGCGGCCCGCGCTTTGAATCCAGAAGGCGGCTTTCAGACTCCGGAGCTTGGGGGCTGACTAGTGTTTCAGGTGAGGAACTTTTAAACACCTTACGAAATGGGACCTCTGAGAGCGAGGGGAATATTTCAACCTCTGAGGGCGGTACTGCACTGTGAAGGATAACTGGGATAGAGTTTTCTTCCAGCTCAGGAATTTGCCTAATGGGTGTTGACTTTGACAATTTGGCTCTCTGCTTTGGCAGGTTGTGAGAGTGAGTGCTCCTTGGCAAGCACTGGAACGGTTCACTCCATGGGGTCAGAAGCTGCTTCCCTGCTTTCTTTCTTAGGACTCTAGGAAACAACTCCAAGTTGGACAGTTCCACTGGATTGGACATATTTGTTACTCTACTGTTTTGGCATCTGTTCTAGGTAGGTGGGATTGAGTAAGTGTCATTACAATAATTCTCTTACTTTTCCCTATTTGAAGTCAAAAATTTAGAATTCATTCTTGGTTTTCCTCTTTCTTTTTCTTACATTTCATTCTTTTGTCACAGCCTGTCCAATCTACCTTCACAACATATACTGAATCCAGTCTTTTTCCATCATCTTCTGGACTTCTCCAAGATCCTTTAAGTGGTCTTGCTGCTCTTTGACCCCTAACATTTTAGCCTCCATACTGCAGATAAAATGGTCTTAAAACACAAATTGGATATTGCTCCCTCCTCTAACCACCTCTGTCCTCCTTTCCCTGTGGGAAAATCCAAACTCCTTATTGCTGGCCTACAAGACCCAGTGTACTCCCTGGCTGCCTTTCTGACTCTCACCACCCTTTGCCTCTTTC